GCAAAAACAATTGCAATACAGAGGTGAAAACAGTTGCAATGGGGCAAAGGCATAGTTTCTGTCTTTCTTAGATGCTCTGAACATCTGGGTGTGGACTGAAACTCGATCAGGGTGTGAATAACAATAGTATAATAGCGGTGAATACACTCGAAATGGGAACACTGACGACATGTAGGCGAAAATAAACAAGATTTCAATGGAGCAGTTATTTGGAGATATCAAGTAGGAATCAATCTCTCTTCGGATGGTTGTTTACTTCTTGTTCTTGCTTCCGCTTATCTGAAAGTTTGTCGCGAACGTACTAGACGTTTCGCAAAGAAAAAGATAAAATTACTGGAATCGACTCAAAAAGCATTCATCATTTTGATGAGCTGATCAACCGGAAAAGTGTAAGCAAAAATTTTGCTGTTTGTTTGAGATCAGCAATTTAAAAAAAAGTTTTTTTTAATCTACGACTAATTTCAGTCGATTTCACTAACATATGCAAACGTGGTGCGAGTTGACTTTTTCTGGGCATTTGTTCTATTCTGAGAGGAGCTTTTTCTCCTTCACGCAGAGCGATTTTTTGGAAAAGTTCTGGAAAGTTAGGCGAGCATCTTGTACCTCATGAATTTTGTATTACGTATCCCCAGACTGTCTTTGAACGATCAAAGACATCTGTACCTTAGCTGGTACTATAATTTGACTTCTTGCGACATTAATTTGCTGAGTCCAACTTCTCTTACTTGGAATGAGAATCGATTACAAAGTATTTTGCGTTACTGTATTGTATAGTTTTTTTTGAGCTTATTGTGATGAAGGAGTTGAAATGTTTTTTTTCACAAACGGTAAGCCATGAATTTTCTCAAAAACTCGAAAGGACAAAGGTAATGTTTTGAGAAAAGTGTACTAGTGATGATGGGAGATTTGACGATATTATAAACCACAAATAACCTCGAGGCAAACTTATAATGCGACCACTATCAACTTGGAGAGTAGACTGTCGCTAATGTACGCGATGTAAAGCCTTATTTCAAGTTAGACTGAATATACCTACTGCTGCACGGGATGTACAAATCAAATTTAAAAAAAACTCAAAGCATAAGCGGAAGGCGGCTTGTTTGAATAGCGGCTAAACGAATTTGAGATGATCGAAGTACGAGCTGCCGCTCTTATCGTTAAAAAGCTATAGTTTCAGGGATATAGACTAACTGAAATACGCAGCACGAGCAAGTTATACAAAGATGATTTTTTTTTAACAAAAAGTTTCTTCTATGACTCTGCTGCGTGTATTTTTACGAGAATCTTGCTACTAACATCACTCACATTTCACACCCCAACTACAGGATCATTCCAGCCTTTTTTTTTATCAGAGCTCTGAACATCTGAATTCGGCCGAAATGCTAACGGTTTATGCCTAAAAAATGTTTACGTTTCAGAGTTGTAATGCTGCTTCCATGTCAAATAAAGGAAGATTCAGAACACAAACACAATTTTTTTTGACTTTGGGATGTGGAAACTTATGGAAAAGGATGTTGAGAGCTCAACTTTTATTTTTATTAATGGACATTGCTGTAGTACATCCATTTTTGGAAACCGTGCCGGGGACTAAAATATAGTTGAATTGAGATTTTCTTTTTTTTTAACATCGAGTGGATAACGAGTTCTATTCCGTTCCAGGAGATTACAGTGTTTCATTAACTATCTCAACTTCTACTTTTACGGTGTTAGGAATGAATGATTCTTATTTTTGAATTTGACCTAAACTGAACTATTGCTAAGATAATGGGATTGAGATAATGCTTGAATTTCAACTTAGTGCAGTATGTGCTTTTACAAAATCAAAAATCAAATCATACTTATCTACTCAGGCCATCAAATGTTGGTTTTTTTTTCGAAGCAAAGAAAGAGTATTTGAACATTGCTAAGAAACAGTTCAGAGCAAATTGTCATCCTCATGTATTGAGAAAGAGAACAAAAAAATAAGTGAGAAGTCGAAATGTTTGAAAACTGGTTGAAAAGTGGTTGAAAATAAAAGAATTGCTTTTTTTTTGAATGAATAAATTTTCTTAGGAGGAGCAATAGGAAAGTGCTTGGCGAGAATGCAAAAGCAATCTTTTGAGAATCGTGGCAGTTTTTTTTTGAAACTACTTCGCAGTTGCAGATAAATGTTTCTTCGAGAAAACCTTTTTTTTAATTTTTTTTTGAAGAAACAGCACAACTTTTTTGGAGGTTGTAAGTATATCAAGCAACCATTCATCAAAACATGTTTCAATAAATAAGAGTTTCATGTAGTCTCAATTTCGAGAACTCATCAAAACTCTTGGTACCCTCTGAAAATACCAATTTTTTTTTTTGGAAATAAAGACTCATTTTTGGTAGGTTTGCCTCAGTTCTCTTGGCAGACCAATCAAACGAATTCACGAATGAGCGAATTTAGCTATTCATCGTAAGTACTTATGAGATTCTTTTAAAACCAGGCTTATGTCATGCTGATATGTCAATTTGAGGTAGTGGTTGGCTTCCACAATTTCTCAAAGACTCAGGCATCGATGATTTACCTTGGCTTTCTAATCCATCTTTTTTTTTTGAAACAGGTATGTGCAAAAAGAAAAAAATCATAAGTAAGGGCTAGATAAAGCATACCTCTCTTGGACAATCACTTGAGTAGGGCTGTTGGAAAGTTGTTCCTGATTTCTCTCGGTCTTCCGTGGAGAAAATCATTCGAAGAGTCCTTGGGACGAATACCTGCTTTCCACCGTACTCGATTCTGAGGTGCCATCCAGCCCAGAAGTCCATAAGTGGCTAATCAGCAACAAACAATTGCCGCATACCTCTGGCCCAGACATTCGTCGATGGGATACGAGGTTCAAAGGGCACTGCCGCTGCATGTGCCTACTTCTGGCGGCTAAATGTCACTCGTTGTTAAGTGATTAGCCATCAAAATTAAGGGACTGGGAGTGTAGCCTTTGGAAGTAACCGCGAGCTAACGATAGCCCGTCGATCTCAGGCAATCATAATAACTAATTATGAAACTCTCCCTAAGCAAAATTGGACTCACAGTAGTTTTTCTACTAGTGAGAACTTAATTTTGAATTTGGTAAGGCACACAGTGGTCTTTCCACTAGTGAGAAATTGAAAAAAAAGGGCTCACAGTGGTCTTTCCACTAGTGAAGTCATAAAAAGTATTCTCACAGTGGTCTTTCCACTAGTGAGAGTTATGGAAAAAAATTAGGTTCACAGTGCGTTTTCCACTTGCATAACCTTATATGTACATATATACAGTGCCGGCGGTGGCGATAGAGTCACTGAGATTGTTACGCGTTGGTAAAGAAAATATGGGGTTCCCAGTGGAATAAAGACGGATAAAAATCGATTGGATGAAAAAAGAAAAAAAACAATTGTTCACGGCTCGCGGAATCACGGCTCCGGGATATCACGGCTCTAGGAAATCACGGCTCGCGGAATTCACGGCTCGCGGAATCTCAATCTAGAGATTAAAAACTCGATCTAGAGAGAGTGCGTCGAAAATTCACGGTTCGCTTTTCACGGCTCGGGGGATCACGGCTCGCGGAAATAAGGAAGAGAAAAAAAGATAAAATATCGTTAGGTAGAAAATAAAATAGAAAATATTATTTTATGCTAAGAATAGCAAGTAATACAAAACTCAGACTCATCGCCTGACTCAAAAAATGATTTTAAAAAAAGGATGATTCTCCAAAAAAACTACGGAGATACGTAGGAGATGAGGGCTGGTGCCGGCGGTAGGAGTATACAAAGATTTGACCAAAATCCCTGCTTTGTTTGTTCCAAAAAAATGAATGGTTTAGCAGACAAAAAAATTTGAAAATAATTTAGTCAGAAAAACGTAAGTCACAAAAAGAAAACAACCCAGGACCTCCATGTCAAGTCCAGGAGGTGCACTCTCCTGACCTGAATCCTTCACCCTGATTTTTTTACTTTATATGAACACGACATCATGACTAAAATGTTTATTATATCTTTATCAGCGTAAAGAAAGGGAAAGGAAGCCGCCGGTCACCCGGTTAGGCACAGCTCATCTGGAGTTGCTGGGCACCGCCCAGTTGGCGTGGGGACTGTCGGACCATCTAATTAGTCTGCGTCTCGACAACCTGAATACATGCGATGTCTACTCTACGCCTTCTGAGAAGATCGGCTAGAACGCGAGTTGAGCTGTGAGTGAACCGACGTTAATAGTAACTAGACGTAATGCTGAGTAACTAGACGTAATGCTTGGATGTTTCTGTGATGAGCTAGCTTCTTTAGCCGTCCCCGCTCATCTTGCTGAGACGGTAACCCTCGCCTACTGTGGGAGACGGTCAAGAGGCGCGATTTTACTGGCTGTCACCAACTTAAAACTCCAGTTTCAGGCTATGGGAGGGTTCAAAAAGTGCCGGACATACTCCATGGCTTACTAGCTGTTTGAAGTAACCATTTGACAAGTTTGACGGCGTCTGTTAGAAAACTGACCGGATTATTTACAAATTGCTATTGAGTGCATTTTCAAGGATTTTTGACCTTCAACAATTTTGTTTGGAATTGATTTCAGGATGATGAAATGGAGCAATTCGTGCAATTACCAAATATATTTCGTTTGAGGTTTCAAGTGATTCTAAAACTTTATAAAACACTAAATATGTGCTATAAGCTGCCCATCTGGCAATAAGAATCGCGCCTCTTGACATACACCCGCCTACTATTCGTGGGGCAAGAGCTTTGCCAAAGAAATTAGGCCTGCCGCGTAACCGAACCTGTGACTTTCCTCGCCGTAGTCAAGGGCACTAACCTCTCTGTCACGGCGAGCGGCGGGACCCGAGCAGCGGCTTCGTCTCAACGCATTCCATTCTTGCGCAATACCCATACTTGCACTGACCATATAACCTTCTCACATCATTTCGTTCTCCATGTCGGCCGAGGTTGCAACAATGCTCAGAGACCGAGATATATAACTTTCGAAGTAGTAAGCAACATATACATTATCGAATAGTTTCTGACTTCAGTGTTCTTCGCGAAGGATTGCGAAAATTGTGACGCGTTCTTATGCGACTGTACTTTCGATGGATTCTTAAAGACGCTTCTCAGACGCGTCAGTGAAAGAGATGAGCACGTTCAGATTCTGGTTTTAGTGTCCACCCGCGAACTCGCATTACAGGTAATCGACTTGAAGATTTACACAACTCTTGAGTAAGATGTACTTTCAAGCTTAAGATGAAGAGCTTGGATTTGAAGCTTTATGGTGGCTTAACACGTTTCGGACCGCGAAATCGCGCGCGGCGAAAAAGAGTGTACCGTCTGCGCCCCAGAGAGGTTCCCATGTGAACCAGTGTGCGTACGTGGTGCGACGCTGCCTTTCGCTCTTTTTGACACGTTTATCCTGAGATTTCAACGGAAGTGCCCGAGGTTAACACGTTTAAAAGTGCGAAAGGCGGCGAGATGACGTGGTACCTATGGGAACCTTGCTGGGGAACAAACGATACTTTCAGCCGTTAGCCTACAAAGGGACCTTATTTCGCAGCCTGTGGGCCACATTGTAATCAGCATGTCAGATAAGCTCCATAACCAAAGTTCTGAGTGAATTCGAAGTGTTTGAATTTTGTCGCTTGAGAGGGACTTTTGTGCTTTCTTCAAAGATAGAAACAAGAACTCAGATTCTAATAGTATTCAAAAGTACAGGGCTTTTCAACATAAGAGTCACAGCCTCCGCTTGCGCGGCTCCTCCAACGCGGCCGCCTCGCTCAGGCCGCGCGCGGCGTTTGCTGCGCATCGCCCGGATTTCGCCAAGCTTCAGTCGGCGCGCAGCCTGGTGCCACGAACGCTGCGCGGACCTAAGCGTGGCGGCCGAGCGGGGCGGCTGTGACACTCTGGTTGTAAAGCCCTGTATCTATCATCTATTCTACGACTAGGGGACGCGAGACCGCATTGCGGACATTGTTTTGACAGGTTTGAGTTTGTTCTTCCCTGCTCCCAAAGAGTGAATAAACCTGGACGAGGTAAATAACAGGTATAAACCTGCCAAGTACACGATTAGGCTTGTTTAGACAATGTGTGCAATGCGGTCTCGCGTCTCCTAGTCCTAGAATGAATGATATCGTTTGCTCGCTTTCGCTAGAGTGGGCGGAGCACTGTCTACGTACACGCGTGGCGGCTTTGGATGGCGAGAGAGTACGAAAAACAATGCTCTAGGATGGAGGTTTATCGACCGATTACATGACATGTCATGTCTGCAATGGTCCGCCCACTCTAGTGAAAGCGAACGAACGATATGTTGTACACGGTACACATCAATATTAAAACTACGTTTTTCTCTTTGATATTATCGAAGCAAAGGAAAGTTGCGACGTCTGACGCGTCGTTCGCGTTGCCGCACTTCGTTGCAACTGTTGTTCGATTTGAGCTCATATCTTCTAAACAAATATCGGCGGCAAAACTCTACAGAGTCATTTGAAAAATAGGAGCTTAGACCTTTGACCTAACAACTTTAGACTGAAAGGAAATCTCCTGCAAACGCCTGAAAGATCCTTCAAAGCAGCGTGCTGCACCATGTGCAGCACCGGTCCGAAACGTGTTAACAGTCTTATGGTAATATGGTGTATCGGCTAACCAGTTTCATGATACAGCCAGTGTCGGAGTTTGTGGCTCCTTTTGTGTCTGTAAAGAAGCTATTATAGCTTCATTGAGATGTCAACATGCTTTCGTCCACGGGTAGAATGCTACTCCTAGTAGGCGAAGCAAAGTACCTAACAAGGGAGTGGTCAGAAGTCGAAGTGGCCACCATACAAGCTCCATACCATTAGATGCAGCATAAAAGGCGGACTCCAAGTCTGTCTTCCTTATTTGCAGAGCACTTTTGTGGACGAAATTATAAGCCGTTGAAGGCAATTATTTTGCCAAGAAATTGCGCGTGTAAAGTAACCTGGCCGTACAAAGCGATACTTGGCTCAGTGTTGAACATGCAACTAGGTCACTTCATATGACCAGTACTTAGAGAGCTGAAAGAACAATAATGTGCCTAATTTCGCAAATCTTGTTCACGATTTTTTCGCAGAACTGCTCATAACTTCGTCTACAAAAGCGCTCGCAGATATGGAAGACAAATTTGAAATCAGCATTCTATGCTGCCTCGAACGGTATGCAGCTTGTATAGATTGACCACTTCGACTTCAGACCATTCCCTTGTAAGCTGAGCTGCGTCTCATTCACAAACATCACTAGTTGCAAGTTAGTGACTCAAGGCTCACTACTTGCATGTTGGTGACTCAAGGCTACAGTGGTGTCTAAAGGGGGAATTGATGAAATTGCAAGAGATGTCGACTGTATCGACACAGCTCTTATTCAGTGCAAAAGATGACTGGAGTGCGGTGAAGATATTTGCTACATTTCAGATTACCAGAGCGATGAAGAAGTTTGCCAAACCTATGTCTATCAAGGTGCATGCTTGCATTGGAGGAACTTCTGTTAATGAGGAAAAGTCAGCGCTAGCGAGCGGTGCTCATATTATCGTTGGTACTCCAGGCCGCGTGAAGCATATCATTTCTTCAAGGTTTCTGGGTAAGCATTTTACCTACATTTTGTTGTTTTTCCAAATGCCTGTGCCATTTTTCATTCTCCAAAAAAGACAAATTGTTGTGACATCTTTTTCACCCTGTTAGAAATGCTCCGATAATAATCATCAATTATTTAAATTCCGGTCAAGCTACAGTCGAGTAGATTTTCCGCTTAATATAGTGGGCATGGACGGAAGGTGAAATGCAGTAACATCTGCGCGGGAACAAGTAGCCACGCCAGCGCTGCAGGCATTTTGCGCGCGCAGTTGGCCTGCGTTGCAGTCAAAGCTATCTATTTGTTCACGCGCAAATTTTGCAGCAATTTACCTTCTTGCAAGCACACTATATTAAGCGGGAAATCTACTCGACTGTATAAAACCAGAACTGTAGATTCATTTTGTCCTTCAGTACTCAGTGCTCTCAATCTGTTTGTTATGTACAATTTCCTCCCATTATTGAACATGAAGGAAGATTTATCCTCAATAGTAACTTCACTGCCTGAAGACATTCAGGTAACATTAGCCCTATCAATTATACTTTGAAATTTTTCTCGGTTTTCAAGAAAGGCAAATGCGTTTGCACGAGTAGTAGGCCTCATGGACAGCGACTAATGGAGCAATTCTGTAAAGAAATGTCTTTGTGCCACTTTTATGGTGTGTCCGACGATGCTGTACTAGAACGAGATGTATCTACACCCGAGTCGGGTATTGACGATGGCGGGAAAGCTATAGATGATGGTGGAGAGGTCGTGGATTGCAAAGGCAAAGGTAATTTTTCACTTAGTATAGTAAACTGTTCTGGATCATGCCATTCGACTTGTGCATCGGTCAAATGATTGAATGTCTTTGCTAGACGCACACCATAGTCCGCAGACTGCTGTGACAGTCTGCGGACTATGACGTGCGTCTGCCAACTTAGTCATGACAGCGTTACCGCTAACTTGCAGCAGCATTGTGGCGTTCCTTGTTTGCAGCCGTTTCTTCTTTCTCTATTACATTCGTCCTTGAGGGACAGCCTATTTATGTGAAAAGGGAGACATGGGTCGAGCCCATGTCCAACAAGCAGCAAAGAACTTTATAGGATGGTCTTTATGGGAACATTTCAGAAAAATTTCATTTCAGCAAAAAAGGCTACGAAGAACGTCCGACTTTGACCATCATTTGATGATTTGACAGGGTGGAGGAACGAACACCTCAATTGGGTACCGCCTCTGCGGGCTGCTGGTCCTTTCGTCCTACTGTTATGCATCTCGTGTTGGGACCAATAGTCCGCGAAGGTGTTGCCTAATTGAGGTGTTCATTCCTCCACCCGATTTGACAGAATTATAGAACTCAAGCACCGGGCTACCCACCCGGAAATTAGGCGTTAAAGTAATTCAGTGTCCGTGGATGCACCAAAATCCGAATTTGACTTCTCAGACACTCGCACCGACCGGCGACCGTCCGACGAGCGTCTGGAACATCACCGATGTTTCGGCCGAGCCGGTCGCGGACCGGACGCCAGCCGGTCAGACATTCGCACCGGCCGGCGACCGTCCGACGACCGTCTGGCGGGACATCGTGATCCGTCTCAGCCGTTCGTGGCGCGCTCGCCGGCCGGTCTTTAGCCCCGCCCCTATAGTTGGCGCGGCCGCCGGCCGGAAGGCCGTCGTCGGCCGGTCGCCGGCCGGTGCGAGTGTCTGAGTTCATTCGACACTTAATTTCCAGTGTTCATGCTGTTCGCATTTTGTATCTGCTCTAATTCAATGAACTAAAGCCCTCACCCCCATTTTTCAAGTTTTGCATAGCTCAGTGTTACTAGGAAATCTATGGCTTTTTTACATAGAGCAGATAGCTTTAAGGAGATAAGGAAAAAACTCATATTGCATCATGTCCATGCGACCCTTGCCAGAGCTGGGCGACGACTTGACGATACTTTTTCAGATAACCGGATCAAAGCTGGAGAGGTTAGGCAAGGTCAGAGACAATGTCGCAACTACCCCGAGGACGCTACGAATGCTAAACGTGCCTCTGGGTCATGTAGCCAGATCAAATCCTGATTTGAGCCCTTCTACGATTGCCAGAGCTGCTAACGTTGATGGTGTCTTTTATGGTTCTCAAATTCAAAAGCATTTGGGACCCGTAGCTGGACATGTCCTGATTTCTTTTTCGCAAATCTTTTGTGGGAGTTGTAGTGCAATAATCACAAGGGACTTGTACGTAATTATATTGCAGACATTCTTTCCCAGTTATAGAGAAATCTATTGATCAAGATGGAATTAGACACAGACATTTGATACATATCATTGGAAGAAAGGGGATATCGATTTGTTACAATGAACAATCATGGAAATGAACTTGGGGCGAACGAAATGCTGAAATTAGAACTGAGCCAAGAAACTGTGATTTGATCATCACTTCGTTGCACGTTGAGAACCGCTTGAAAAGCATAGAATTGCGCAAGCCAAAAACTAATCGTCTGTCTGCGAATGTCTAGGGCCTCATTAGTACCCCTATTAGAAACAGTCACGTGATAGGTATAGCTGGCGTCAGAGCTCTGCAAAAACATTTATTCCACAAGCCTGTTTGCCTGGGTCATAGTCATTCATTATGTTGTAAAAGGACTCCTATTTTTTCGCTTGAGTTTAGTAGGAAATTAGAGCGGATACAAAATGCGCACACTGTGTGAACATAAACCCCCGCAGCGGATATAGTGTGGACCCCGGCCAGTTTCCCATAGGTACTTCGGCGGCGCGCACGCAGCGCGCACCCTTCTTGATGCTTCTAGCCTCACTCATGAGCAGTAGAGCACATTTATGCTCCCAAAGAAGAAAAATGTAAAGTGGAAACCTCTAGGTTCACTTCGAAAGAGACGTATGCAAGAACGAAACGCAGGCAGCCTCCATGAGTACCTCAAATTCAGTCAATGGATGCATATTCCGAACTTGCACTGATGGATAGGTTGTAATAAGTATACGTAGAGAAATTAAAGAATAACAGCATTCTTAAAACATTTCTCTTCGTAGACGTAGAAACTAGAGTAGTCAAAAATTTAAAAAAGAATGGACATTTCAGTAAACAAATGCCTATTGGCTTCTCGGAACGCTCAATTTTGACTTGAGACACTGTCTACACCTTACACATCAAATCGAAATGGACTCATTTTATACAAGAAGCTTTTGAAGGAATATTATCTTAATATCCAATCAAATCTCACTTTTTCAGAGAAAAAAGGGAAAACACAAGACTACTACACAAGACTGAAGCTTTTAGAACTATTAGAGCACGTGAAATCTCGTCACCGGTCATCGCGAATTGTTTATACCTAAATCGAAAGAATATAGTACACCAAAAACAAAAAAAAAGAGAGAAAAGAGGATTTCCATCAGGAGCTAGGACAGGAGATGCACTGAAGGCGTGCGTTGCGAGTGCGTCGCGCAGGTACCTATGGGAAGCTGGCCGGGGTCCAAACTATAGCACCACGCCGGAAATTAAGGGTCGAATGAAGTCAATTTCGAATTAAGATGCATCTACGGACACTGAATTACTTTAACGCCTAATTTCTGCTACGGTAGCCCCGATGCTTTTTGAGTTCCATAATTCTGTGGTGCTTTGGCGCTCGCAAGAAAATTTGCTGGAGTTCTGCGTGGTAGGATTTGATGACTGCGGGAGCTGCTTCAATCATTCTGAGGAGAAGGAATCGGTTCTGACAAGGGAAGGATACTTGGTCGAAGGCCTTCATACTACGTCGCGCACGCCGCGCACGCAGCGTACGCGGCGTGCGCGGCGTAGTATGAAGGAACCCGAAGTGAAGTTTCCATGTGAACTGTATACTATCTTATGAAGCATAAATTCTGATTCTGAATCTGGTTTCGTTATCTGCAAAGCAATTCTGGAAGAAAATCTGTGGGAACTTCTCGAAAAAATTTAAGGGTTTGGATGAAGTAAAACCGCTAGAGGACTTTCCGGCGCTTGGAAGGAGTAATGACTAGTATGAATATATAAGGCTAAGGTGGTTATTGCCTAAAGCGCCCTGGCAGCAACTATGACGCCTCTTGAGCTCACAAACCTCAGTTCTCAATGATTTAATTGTAGCCATTTTTGCTTCAAAAATTCCCATAACTACCCTCCCCAAAGCGTTTTGCAGATAGCAAAGGCAGATTTAAAATCATCAGCGTTCCATGCTCAAGATAGCATACAACTCATAAGGAAACCCCACTTCGATCAAGTATCCTTCCCTTGTGAGTAGTGGCGATGGCTCATGTGTTTTCAAACATTGTTGCGAATAGTCGTTGAGTTGTCAAGCTTTACTGAACGAGCGTGTACTAGTCGTGGTATCGTCGATTCGTTGGTCGCACGGACTGCTCAAACGCTGTGGACCACGAGGGGCATGAATTGTCGCGAGAGCACGATTTGTACAATGGCGAATTTGTACGGAGCAAGCGTTTTACCTCGCGGTGCGTGCCCCGCAGTGATGTCCATTTCAGGCGCTCAACGAATCAACTATGGTGTACAGATGATAATGATAACAAAGTGAGTCAATAAAGATTCGGCAAGAAATATGTTCAGATCACGACAGGTTAATTTATGACTAACTAGCTGGCATACCCGGTCTTGCCCGGTTCATGAGCCACGAAGCCAGAGGAAGGAGGGGGAGCGTATAAAATATGTGCTCTGCTTCAAAACCTATGCCTTTCCATCTTTGACCCCGCTACCAATGCTGCATCCCTGCCCCCCCCCCTTCCTTCTCCGGTCCTGCAGCCTGCATCCACCTGCACGGTGCATTGTAATTGCAAACGCCTACCTCAAAGCAGCATCATCTGAAAGTACCGCATCCTTTCGGCCCCAAAATGAGAATGCGCTTCTTTGCTGTTGTCTACATCAAAATGTGCAAGCGGTATGATAGCGGTTGATAAGTTTTCAGTTTCATTGCTAGCTGCCAAAAATCAACAAATCGATAGAAAAACCCAGCCAATCGCCTAAAAGAGTGCCTAACACCATCTACATGGTCGAAAATATATATGTGCAAAGTTTCAGCTCAGTTGGTTCACGCGCAAAGGAGTCTATAAAAAACATACGGTCCAGAGTTGCACAAACTTTGACTTTTATAGATATATAGTTGTATTCTGGATTGTGAGGAGTGGCGACTGTTCGCTCACGTGATAAGAATAACAAGCTTCATCTTCTCAATAAAATTTCTCGCACTGATCGAATCACTGTCTCGCAATCTGACCGTACTCTTTTTCAGAACCTTTGGAAGATGAATTAAGACAGACGAATTCGTTTGTTTATATTCGTCACATCATGGCCGCCATACAGAGCGTGGATGTGAAGAGAAGAAGTGTACAAGTGCTGGTGATTGCTCCGCAAATAGAGGGTGTCAAACAGGTACGTCTTCTCTACATCTGTGCATGAACGAAGGAAAGGTAAGGTTCATTTATAAAATCGTGACGACGGATTTGGGTGTATGACTTTATGAACGATAGCATGTGCCAGCCGCCAGCTGGGTACCGTACGCGGTGCGCTGGTCGCTCCGCCCCCTTGTTAATTAGCCTAGGAATGCGCTCAGCCATTGGAAAACTCTAATATTTCCTTCATGCTTCTTCTATAGGTTGCAATTTGGATAACAGTAGATTTCAAAACTTCAATCAAATTAAAAATCAGTTTTCAGGTGGTTTTTCATTATAGGTTAGTTCGCAAGCTCTTTTCGATGTATTTCAGTTATTTGTTCCCAGGAGGTTTGTCCAAATTGTGAAAAGTGTTTTTCTTTATTCAAATCTGTTACTATATTGAATATTCTTTATGTGCACTCTCAAGTTTAGTTTAGAAAGAAGTCAGCTTACCGAGAAATATTATTAGGTTGGCTAATAAATAAGTTCGTTTTGACATACAAATTCAAAGCTTCATAACAATTCACGTAACAGCTATTCAGCCAAGATTTTTTCTTGAGCAGATAGCCTCAAGCCTCTACTCTTAGGCGTTGAATAGTCAAGATTTTGTTTTAGCAAAAAAGGCAGTTATAACCTTATATGGTCAGACCTCTTAAAAATCGCTTTGTTGACTTTTTAAGTTTCGTTCTCACCCTGCAGTGAGTACACAGGCGAGCAATTTGGTGGCTAGGTACATACAGCCTCTGGCTAGGTGGCGAACCACAATAGAGATTGTGACCTGCTGTTTCTGAATTTCTGCAGCCAAAATTGTGTAAATTTCCAGGCATTTGCGCGCGAAGGTCAAATTTTGAGCATTCCAGATAACTCGAATTTGGCCATCTATGGTCATGCAAATAGCTGGAAATTCAAAAATTTGCTCTGTCGGTAGCGAACATACACTTTACACCTGACTTTAGTTCGTTTTTCGGAACGTGATTTTTCGAAATTTTGAGGAAAAAATCGGACCAATTTTCTTTCCCTCAACATTTCATTATCAAAAAAATCAAGTTTGAGAAAACAGAGTTCACCTTCCGATTCTCCTTGATTTGCTCTTTCCAATGGTACCATATATACACACGAAAACTGATTTGTGACAATTCTACAAACCGCTAAAAACGACCGAACTTATTTTTAGCCAACCTAATATTATCATTGCTTGAATGAACACGATCATTTCTTTTATCGGAAAAGTAAGTTTTGAAACCCTAATCATAGTTAAAAACAGAATTGCGACGAGAATTCAAAATAAGCATTATAAGCGAATTTCGTTTCAAGCAAACTAATTTCAATAACTTGTGTACATCATTACATTTGATAATGTTTCTTACGATCAGATTCACTCATTTTGCAAATATGCGGTCATATCACACAAACTTTTTCAGATTTTAAGAAAAGGAAAATCACACTGCACTTGTATTTTTTCGAATCTGCTTTAAATAACAAAATTCTTTTGTTTGCTTCTAACTGCTACCGTCAGTATAAATTGATCTGTAACTCAGTCGAAATTGCATGTGAACTAGTCGCAAGATGTGAGGTCACTCAGACAATCATGCCTGAGGTGTTCTAGATTGATTTCACACTTCAAAGTTGGATATCCAGGAGGCACTCGGTCACTCATAAGGCACTCGGTCGCTCTTGAATTTCATGAAAAACATTAGCTGTTCATGACTGGCATAAAAAAAACAAGAGCAAAACAAAATTTCGCAAATAGTTAAGCTTCAACCCAGCTTGCAACAAGCTTATATCACTATCAGAAGTTGCTTTCACTTGACTGGGGAACATGGCCATGAACCAGCGCTAAAGCTGTACTGCAAAAAACCCGTCCATCTTGCGATAGGCGGAGCTAACGGTGCGCACCTTATTGACACACGCCTGCCTAAGCGCGCGCTATCTTTCATAAAGTCCGCCACCCACGGATTTGACTACGGTCTTTGCACCCACAGGAGCATAACATCCTCATACAAAAACGCATCATCTCATTGCTCAGCTCAGTCATTCTCAGCGTCCAACTACTATCATACCTAGTCAGAAGAACCAGTCCAGTAGAGATCAAAACCAAGAAAATGCGGTTACAGGAAGGTGCGTGCGTGTCGCGCGCGGTCGCGCCATCGTCACAATTTTCAGGATGCCCTGTAGTTGTTTGAATAAGGAGTTCTTGATATACTTATTTGAGTTCAATTATTATTTTTTTTATTTATTGTAGGAAATTCCTACGCATATTACATTCAACAAGACACCAAAGTGTAATCAACAAAACAAATCAACACAACAAATGAGAAAGGACTAACAATCATATAAAGAAACTATGGCGAAAGAAGATACAGTCAGCCCAGAGTAGTAACATTTCAAGTGGAGCAGCGCGTCCGCACCGCACTGGCTCAGCGGGATATATTAGAATGGAGAGACGCAGACTGTAAAGCGGCGCGAATTGTAGCGAAGCGGACTCCCGCCAATCCAGTTTCCGCCTAAACTGAGTTGAAACTTATCATAGTTCTCAAGAACCATTTTGAACTGAGACAATTTGAAAGGAAGCATACCCTTTCTCATCAGTTTAACTAGATCGCCGCTGACTATTTGTGAAGAATCTTCTTCTCACATTCCTCCCTGCTTCTGGTATTACCATTTTTTGAGGTCCCCCTCTAGTGACATAACTTCTAGTCTTAATACGTTGACGACAGTGTCGCGCAGTGGTGCGCGACACCCAAAATATCAGTTCTAATGTGCACAATGGTTCCGATTGTGTTCATATAATTAACTTAAGCTTAGAAGTATTTCATGTTGACCCCGCTCCCTGGCAAACTCCGCCCACTCTGTTGCCCTCTAAAAAAGTCTTTTCCTTCTCAAATAGCATGGAAAAGCTCGTAGATGACTGGGAAATCTCAAAATAACCTTGAAGGCAGCGGCTCGGCAGATTGACCTACCTCAGATTTTGACACAGATGGATAGGAGGCCCTCCAAGTGAACCAAAACAGCAACTCCGCGCCGAAAACGTGAACTCTGCAAGCCAGGGGGGCCGGCCCAAGCGCCGCTCCCCTTCCTCCTTTCGCTCCCCTAACACCTTGTTCGGACGAGTGTGCTCCGCTAGACGGCGCGGGACCCCAACCGCTTTCCCGCATTGCGCATGCTATACAAAGCCAAAATTACAGGCAGCAGGGTCTTCGTGCCAGGGCCTCCCGACTTTCCTTTGAAAATTCTCGTCCGAGCTGCTTTCTGGAAATTGAAAAAAAACACCCCGAAAAAGGCCTTTTCACCCCTTTTAAAGCTCAGATTCGGGATCTACGGGTCGAGAAGGCCAAAACATGCAAAAAGATGGAAATGCAAAATTTGCCGGGACGCTGCCTTTAATTTTAATCCCACCTCCCGTTATGCAGGCTCCAGCCCCTGGCCACACCCACTTTTCAAAAGTGCCGGAATTTGCACGAATCCGTGAATTTTGTGCAATTTTCGGCATTTTGAAAAAGTGGGCGGGCTTTCCAAAGTGGGCGGAGCTGCCCCTCCCTCTTGCACTTTTGTACCCTGCTCATAGATGCATGCATACATACATGCAGTCAGCTGTGAAAATGCCCGGAAACATTTCGTCCACACGGACTGCCGTCAAAAATGGCAGGATTGAGTTGGCAGTCTCCGAGTAATATTTTGTGAGCCATAATAAGATTAAACTTTCGTCTACCATTGAACAGGCTGGCCAATCCTAAGACCTTATTTCGTTCCTTTCCGTTGGGTAAAAGTTCGTATTTGAGACCTTTAGTTCTAATCAACTTCTTTGTAGAATTGTGTAGGTTTTCGACCTTTAAACTCAGAGCTGTAGCTCACCGTGATTATTGTCTTTATGGTAACTATCAAAAACTACGGGGTGTCCCAAAAAAATGTTAACACTGTTTGATCGTTGATAACTTGCTTTCATATCTTTCGCCGAGTTTGTGGTACAATACCGCTCATAATTCGTCAAAAAAGTCGCCGGACTGCGGCGCACCGCAGTGCGCCGGAATGATCGTCAATTTAGCCATATCTCGCTTCAGAATGGACGAATTCTGAATCCTAGGACACCGTTCGATTCAGCTCGGTGAGACGCATCATCCCATATATGAAGCTGAACGTCTGTTTGTCTGTTTGTCTGCTCAGATAATCGTCGGGGGCAGGCGGTCCGCAAACTCGCGCTTTTCTGCAGGCGGTCAGCAGGATTTCGGGGCGTGGCCAAATCTTCAGCGGGCGGTATTTGCGTTTTCTGCAAGCGGGCATCAATACAAAATTTTCTGCAAGCGCTCGTCAAACAATCTCTTTCAGCGAGCGCTGGCCAAACTTTCAGCAGGCGCTCAGACTCTTTTTACGCAGTTTCGGGCGTACGCCGAGAAAAGATGAGACTCTATGTGGCAGAGGTGCCATCGATGGTTTTATTACCCAAGTTTAAGGTACTTTCTTTCAGCGGAAAGTACCTGAGGGTTGTGCGGTCCTTCAAAAAGGACCGTGCGGCTCTCAATAATTTTGCATGTTCTCGCGGAAAATCCGCGAGAATGCGGCCACTGTGCCGCAACCCATGTATAGAAAAACCGCGATAGATCTTCGAGCGTTCGTCTAAAAATTGGCCAAAATTATTCCAAATTTCTGCAAGCGGACCACAAAAAATCAGCGAACTATTTTTCCGGTGCCCGCTTGCTCAAAATTCGCATGGCCGCTTGCCCCCGGCGATTATCTGAGTGTACGTACGCTCCGAATAGAAAATTCCATTTCTGAACCGATCCGGACCAAACTTGGCACACATACACTTCGGGCCCCGACGGGTGTTATAGGTTACTTTTCGTCATCGATCGACATCGATTTTATCGATTTTTATCGTTTTTTTGCAGAGTTTACCTACGGGGCCGGGAGTTGGCACAGGCTCAGACAATCGCCGGGGGCAGGCGGGCACCGGAAAAATAGATGGCTGATTTCTCGCACCCCGCTCGCGGATTTTTTGGAAAG